AAAGGTGAGATGCTTCTAGTCCAGATATACGTGGAAGACATCATATTTGGTTTAACGAACCAGAGGCATTGTGATAAGTTCTCTGCATTAATAAATAGTGAGTTTGAAATGAGCATGATGAGAGAATTAAGTTCTTCTTCAGGCTACAAGTAAAACAAATGGAAGATGGTATCTTTATTAGCCAAGCTAAGTATGTCTCTGACATATTAAAGAAGTACCACTTCACAACTCTTCCACCATGAGAATACCAATCCCAACGGGGACTAAGCTTGACACATATCCATCTGGAAAATCGGTGGACGTCAAGACTTACCGTGGAATGATTGGATCACTGTTGTACCTTACGGCTAGTCGACCAGATATAAGGTTTGCCACTTGTCTTTGTGCTAGGTACCAAGCAAATCCTAAGGAATCTCATCTTTCTGCTGTCAAAAGAATCTTTCGATACCTAAAGGGGACTCAATTTTTGGGTATCTAGTATGCTAAGCATTCTAGATTTGATCTTATCGAGTATACAGATTCTGATCATGCAGGGTGCAAACTCGATCGAAACAGTACATTCGGAGGCTGTCAACTGCTTGGTAACAAGCTCATCAGTTGGACATCCAAGAAGCAGAACTGCGTATCTACTTCTACTGTGGAAGCAGAGTATGTAGCTGCAGCGAGATGTTGTTCTCAAGTAATTTGGATGAAGACTCAACTCAAAGATTACGATATTGAGTTTGATAAGATTCCCATCCTATGTGACTCTGAAAGCACAAAATCCATCACGGCCAATCCAGTACAACACGCTAAGACAAAGCACATCGATGTTCGATACCATTTCATTAAAGACCATGTAGAGAAAGATACGTTCAAAATGTTTTTTGTCAGTACAGATCACCAACTTGGAGATATATTCATGAAGGCACTCGATGAAAAGAGGTTCAATTTCTTGGTCAGCAAGTTGGGTATGCTCAATATTCAATAATAAGTTAGAGCCTTTGTATGTACTATACAGAGCCTCTACTTCCTCCTTGAGCATTTCTCTGTTTGATTTTTTTTAAGTCCATAAGATAGAGCCTTTGCATACACTAAGTAGACTCTCTTTCTTGAGTCTATTATCTCGCTATCATATAGAGCCTCTATATATACTATACAGAGTCTCTATACCTTGTTCTATCGCTAGTACACTTCTTATAATATTTGATTCAAGCATAGTTCAAAGGAGAGAAGCACAGACAACCCAATTCAAGGGGGAGCATCAGATCGTCAACCATACAGAGCCTCTGTATGTACTATACAGAGCGTCTGTCTCATCAAATTTTCAAATTTAAAGACAGAATTTCTGTATAGTCCAACCATGAGCCTCTGTATATACTATAAAGAGCTACTGTCTCCAGAACCTTGACTTCTTGAATCTAGCACTCTTGAGAACTCTAGCTTCGGACGCAGAGTGTCTGTGTGTACTATACAGATGCTCTGACCCAAGGAACTTAGTATCTCAATATGACAACTGCTTGTCTTCTTGAACAATCAAGTTTCTGGTATAGAGCTTCTGTATATACTATGGAAAGCCTATGTCTCAAGATATTAGGTCTTTTCTTCATCTATGACCCAGAGTATATTTCTTCTTTCTTCTAAGTGTTATATTCAACACAGAGGTATTTTTTTTTACTCTTAACAAACACTCTAAATAAAGTAAGTGGGACTCATAGCCTGTCAAGCCACGTGGCTTCTCCTCACAGGCTCTGCAAAGAAAACTCTTCGGTTTTTGACACTGCGGGAGGATAATTACTCGAGTACTCTAAAGAAAATCCCTTATTTAAAGGAGTAATTTGTTAATGAACGCCTAAAAACCAATCATATGATGATTGTAACTTTGAGTTTTGTTTCATGAAATTAATAAATATAAAGGCATTGCCCATTTTATTATGTCTATATTATATTCTATGTTTTAATTATTCATAATAAATAACCTTAGAATAATGTATTCTAAATGTCCCTAGTTAAATATTATTTTGGGTTTAAGGTTGAAGTAATATGATAATGACTAGCATATGTAGGGATTCATATAGAGATATCGAATCTGCATATGGGTACAAAATGGAGACTTTGTGTATCGGACGTGACTCGTTATGAGAACACTTCATTGGATTTCATGTGAGTGTCATAAGTGTTTCTCATATGGTCAATGTACATGTAATTCTTTGACTTGAGAACATGGAGTTTGTTATGTGTAAGTAATGTATTTTGACATTTATTCTAATCATTTCGTAACTGGGTGACAGAATGATAGTTGGGTATGTTGCATATCACATGATAGAATTAACATATATCGAGATAGGATTTGTCTCTCCTTTGTGAGGGGAGTGATGTCTCTGGGCCCCTTGATAATTATATACTAAAGAAATGCATGCATGCTTAGATAATTGATATGATATCATTATCTATTTTTTATTAGTATGTTAGGGAATCAAGAAACTAGAGATTGGACATAACAAGAATGAATCATTTAATGTCTCGTGTTCAACCTGGACATCAAGGACAAAAGAATTAAATATGTAAAACTAAAATTGACTACAAACCGATAATTTGTTGTATCACCAATTCTCGTCATTTGGGTAACGATGATGTATTGCTAGATATCGCTCATCGTTTATAACTATAAATATGAGATTTATATTTATTACCAACATGTTGAGAACCCATTGGGTCACACGCTTTGAATATATCGAATAAGAGGTTTCAATAATTAAAATGTTTAATTATCATATCTGATTTGTATCGATTTAATCTGATTAAATAAAATCAGATATTATTTATGTTGGACATAAATAAAGATGACTAGGGACGGGCTTTTGATAAGTGTTAATTTATTAACCTTATTACATCATTTTCTTAACCATTTTCCCTTGTTTTATTTGCCCATTAGTGTCTTAATAGAGTCTTTTTATAGATTTTTCATATATTAGTAGTAATATAGTATATCTAATGTTAATTCCCTATTTTTACAGGTTTTTGATGATTTTTGAGCTCAGTCCTACGGCAGTCCTACAGGACCAGGAGTGGCAAGGTCCTATAGTACCTGTCCGAGAGCTGAAATTCTGCTTGGGCCGTGAAGAAAAATGGACTGATCCATAGAGGAGGCGTGGTCAACGACCTTGGGCCCGGTCAAAGCCCAGTTTTGAAGAAGCTTTTGTCTTATTAGTTGGCACCCACTATGTGATCTTCCTTAGCCTATATAAACAAGCCTTAAACCTTGTTTTGAAGACACTTTTTCATACTTTCTTTCATTTAACACTTGTGATATTAGTGATAATTGATCTCTAGAATATTGCTTTCGGTTCCAAGTTTCGGTTTTCTTTGTTTGTCTTTTCAAGAACCAACTTTTGTAGTTGTGATTTCATTCTCAAGTTTTAATTTAAGTACTCGTATTTAATCTTCATCTCATTTCTGTTCCAAGTTACGTTACGTTTTCTTATCTTTTACAAGTTACGAATTAGTCGATCGTTGTTGCTTTACATCGGATCTCATCCTTTGTGGCTCACGACTAATTTACGTAGACTAAATAATCAGTTTTTACGAGTTTGCAAGCAACCTTTTAGTCTTTGTAACGAAACTTGTTTTGCATGTTTCATTACTTGACTTGCAAGTTTTCTTCAAAAGCAACCCCAATTTTCAAGGTTTTCATATGTCATTTCCTCATCTCATCAAAGTACTACTTGTCATACATCAAATACCTTCCTTTCATTATTATTAGATTAATATTAATTAATATTATTTAGTTATTAATAATTTATATTTCAGTATTTATATTTCAGTCTTTATATTTCAACATTTATACTTCAGCATTTATATTTCAGCATTTATATTTCAGTCATATATATTTCAGTCTTTATATTTCAGTCATTTATATTTCAGTCTTTATATTTCAGTCATTTATATTTCAGTCTTTTACATTTCAGTCCTTTACATTTCAGTCTTTACTTTACTGCAATTTACATTTCTGTCATTTAATTTCCAGCAATTTACTTTCAGTCATTTATATTTCTGTTATTTAATTTCCAGTACTTTAAATTCCAGTATTTCCATTTCCTGTAATTTACTTTATGTAATTTACTTTCTGCAATTTATTTTTCCGTCTTAGTTATTTATTTTTCAGTCCTTACATCCTTCGAGAGAAGAAACCGAGCGATGATGGGCTAACGCCTTAGCTTGGGGTGTAACGGGAAATTAAGACCAAAGCCGATGTGAAAGTGCAAAGGTGTCTTATTAGCATTATATTCTACTATTTATTTCAGGTGCTTAATATTTCATTTGATGATTACATTGAAATTAATTGACAACTAATTTTGTGTATATAAAAATGTATTGACTTTCAAAACTTGAGGTAATAGGAGAAGGCTATAAATAGCTTTAGTGTCTGACAAATGCTATACTCCTACAGTGTAGGATGGTAACACCGTGTTGTGCTAGGATTCACGACGTCTAACATAAATGATATCGTATCGATAGCACGTTGACMGGTDTDTGCTCTTGGGAGGCCGTCTGACCCGATAGTTGATACTGTCATAGTTATATAAAATCATTTATTGATTTTAGATAATTATGATAGGAATGCTATGTCACCTTTTACTGAATCATTTGTTTAATGTCTTAATCAAATGTTGCACCATGTGCTTCTTCTTAAGACTGATATTTTTCTTAGTTGTTAATCAAACCTCCCAAGTTTAGATAAATCAAATCCCTCGTTTCGCCATCTGAAATTAATTTTTATAAACTGGACTTTTGAATTAACTTTACAAGCTATCTCTATGGGAACGATATCTGGTATTTTACCATTATTACTTGTTACGAGACGACAGTAGTTCGAGGTGTATACTTCTATTTTTGTGTTGAAATCTAAGGTTGAATAAACCGATGAGCAAGTTTTTGGCGCCGCTGCCGGGGATAGCACGTTAAAGTTTTTTTTAAAGTAAAGTTCGTAAAAGCTAATTTTTCTACCATCTGTTACTATTATGGAGAACATCATACATATTGCAGATTCTCGGGATAGAGGAATCATGGACTATGCTATTCCTGTTTTTAGTCAATTAAATTCAGGAACACTAAGGCCACAAATTAAGGCAACTCACTTTGAGCTCACACCTGTCATGTTTCAGATGTTGCAGACTAATGGCCAGTTCAGTGGTTTGCCATCTGAAGACCCTCATTTACACTTAAAATCTTTAATAGAAATAACTTATTGTTTTCTTATCCCTGGAGTGTCTGATGATGCCTTAAGGTTGAAGTTATTTCCATTTTCTCTTAGGGATAGAGCAAAGTTATGGTTTAACTCTTTACAACCAAATTCCATAATCTCTTGGGATGACCTTGTAAAGAAATTTTTTAGAAAATATTTTCCTCCCAACAGGAACGCTGAATCCAGAAATGAAATATGTTTGTTTAGACAAATGGATAATGAAGCAATACCTGATGCTTGGGAAAGGTACAAAGAGTTGTTGAGAAAATGCCCTTACCATGGCATTCCTTACTGTATCCAGCTAGAGACGTTTTACAATGGTTTAACAACTGTTGCTAAACAAATGCTTGATGCCACTGCAGGAGGAGCTTTCACAACTTGTACTTATAATGATGGGTATGACATGCTTGAGAAAATTTCAAATAATAATGGATATTGGGCTRATCCACATGCATTAATACAWAATAATACAKTTGGGATACATGAAACAGACGCATATAATGTATTAACAACACAACTCACATCTATAACTGACATGATTAAGAATATGAATGTTAGCCCAGATGTGCGAATTGTTGATGCAACATCATATCCTACTGTCAATTCTATAGCATGTATGTTATGTGGAGGAGGTCATCCATTTGATCAATATGCATCTAACCCAGAGTCAGTTAATTTTTTTGAAAATCAAAACAGGGGTTGTTCTGATTTACAAGCTTATAATGCAGGGTGGCAACAACAGCCAAATTTTTTCTGGAATGCTCGAACCTTGAATGAACCTGTTGGTTTTCAACAACATCAAAGTGATTCCTACAATCACCAACCCAACTTTTACYRGCAACMCCCTACCCAGCCGATTTTCAACCAGCAAACAAGTTTTCAACAACAAAGTCATCTACCCTCTTTCCAAGATACAGCACATCAGTTTGTTGATTCATCTACTTCCTTGGAAGCAATGATGAAAGGGTTCATAACCCAAACTCAGGCTTCAATCAGAAACCTTGAAAAACAGGTTGGACAAGTAGCTTTGGAAATGAGACAAAGACCGATAGGCTTTTTACCTAGTGATAYRRAKACACCTCAGAGAGAAGGAAAAGAGCAGGTCAAGGTTGTGACATTGAGGAGTAATAAGACTTTAATAGAAAATCCCCAAAAAGAACAAAAAGAACCAAGCAAAGCAGAGACTGAAAAGAAAAGTGTAGTACCAGATTCTGTTACGTCTGTACCACATTTTGTGATTACCATTCCTGTGAACCATTCAGAGAGTATTAGTGAGCCTCAACCCATAGTTAGGCCTATCGATGGTATAGCCATTCAAGAAAGGTCAGAATTTCCATTGTTATTTCCTGATAAGCCCAAGACAATCCAGACTCCCAAAGAAAGTGTTGTAGTGGATGTTTCATAATCTAGTGACAGTCCCATAATAAATGACCAGACCAGTCCTATAATCCTTGGTAGAACTGAATCAGAACCCATTGAGAAACCAATTTTGAAACCCATTCCAGCACCAACTCTTCAAAAGACTACTTCTCCTACTG